TGAAATTAATGGTAGAGATTAATTAAGGACGATCACACTACCAGGCAAACTTTACTCACAGAATGTTTTCCTTTATTTATACTACTGTCCACATTTTACACTCATAGTGAAATCATCAAAACTATAAAATAACGTTTCAGATTATAAAGCGACGAAAAAGTGTAAACAAATCAGAAATATTCTCTTAATTTAGATGTTTTTTATTTCTTACTTCGCCTTGTCGCTTTACACACTCTCAACATTCTCTCAATCAGTCACTTTAAACACCCTGCACAGTTTTTTAATATCTGTGAAATATTAATATTTCCATGAACAATTTTATCTGTTACAACTTTAAAGGAGTGTTTTGTATTTTCTTTTTTCTCCGTTGCCTTTACCATTCTGCCGTGTGGGCGTCGACCCAGCAGGTTGACCGATATCCTCTGCATCAAATGTAACCGCCCAGTTAGTCAGTATGGTGCCGACTGGAAATCAGATCATCAACACAGTCTTAACTGTGTAAACCTGAAGAGGGAGATTCTGAAGGGGAGCCTGATCATCACAGTCTTGTAGGAGCTCCTCAGTGGTGCTGTTAGCGCCAGATTTTAGTTTGTTAGGCAGCTAATTGAAGGTTTTATATCCAGCTGTAGTGCTGACACAGAGCTGAGCTCAGATTCTTACTCCCCACCTTCTAGTTAAATTCTCCCACACTGCACCGTTTAAAGTGGAACAGGGAAATGTGAGCAATAAGCTGCTGAAAGGAAGTCAATGTTTAATGTGACGACAGGTAGAGACATGTGGAGGGTGTGGAGTGTGGAAGGTCAGTCGATTGCACAGCTCATGAATATGCAATGTAAGGTAGCTGATGATTCCCAGTTGTTAATTAGTGTTGTCTGTGACATCTAAGATCACGCCAAATAAAGTGTAATCCCTAAACACTGGTTAGGGGGCAGTACACCAAAAAATAAAAAGTGGGAGGTCATTTTTATGAACTCTGCAGTGTCCAGTAAATGTTGGACTGAAGCAGAAGAATGAAGATAATCACAGACGTCCTGCTAATACGACATTTTGAGTAAGGAGGAAATGTACTGTGCTGGACCTTTATGATGTGCTGGGTCAAAAACATGACTGCAGAACACTAGAGGGCACCCACGAGTGAGTCCTCAATAAATGAGGAGTGAATGGAGCCAAATGGCTGAAATGAAAATTTGAGAACTTCCTTTAATTTTGAAAAGTAGTATTTTTAAATTAAGTATTCCTGTAAAAATATTTCAGACAGGTTTCAGGCTCTAGGACACTCGCATTACTGCTACTGAGTGCTGATTGGCTGGCATTACTGCTACTGAGTGCTGATTGGTTGGCATTACTGCTACCGAGTGCTGAGTGGCTGGCATTACTGCTACTGAGTGCTGATTGGTTGGCATTACTGCTACCGAGTGCTGAGTGGCTGGCATTACTGCTACTGAGTGCTGATTGGCTGGCATTACTGCTACTGAGTGCTGAGTGGCTGGCATTACTGCTACTGAGTGCTGATTGGTTGGCATTACTGCTACTGAGCGCTGAGTGGCTGGCATTACTGCTACTGAGTGCTGATTGGTTGGCATTACTGCTACTGAGTGCTGACTGGCTGGCATTACTGCTACTGAGTGCTAATTGGCTGGCATTACTGCTACTGAGTGCTGAGTGGTTGGTGAGCTGATCAGCTCATTGGCTGAGTAAAGCAGTTCATGCTCTCTGATATCATGAATGAATGTAAGACCCTGTTAAAGTCCTCTATCTGGATCTCAGTACAGCTCAGATCAATAACAGCAGTGGTGAAGTTTTTCATCCTATTATATGTTTAGAAAACAAGAGCATTTATATATAAAATGATGAACCATTTGTAAAAACTCTATAAGAACCCATTCATTCTGGACTGGCTCAGGAACGCAAGACAGACCCACAAGACAGTGAGTGGCAGCTCTCCTCACTACAGATTCTCTGCTCCTGGATGATTTTCCAGCAGGACTGAAGACTCACACACACGCCTATATGCCAAACTTCTGACTGGTAGAGTATGTTAATAATTATTCAGTTACAGTCATTTAATTAATCTACCTTAATAAAGACTAAGATTGATGAGGTACAATCTAAAAACTCACCAGTCGTCTGTGATGAAATGAGCGTTTTCAGTGTTTCAGTTTCAGTCTGTAGGTCTGAGTTCTGTTGTGCTGAAATGATAAAGACAGAATATTAATTTATCAGTCAGATATTTTACAGTCAGTCTGTGTCTTAAATTCTTACCTGTGTGTTTAAGTTGTTGATCTTTCTCTTCTAACTCTTTCTGCTGACGGCTGAGTTCAGTTCTCTGTTGGTCCAGTAGGACCATCATCTCCTGTACTTTGCTGCTCTTGTCCTGCAGTTCTTTTCTCAGAGTCTCCAGCTGTGAGTCTTTATCTTTAAGCTGTGTCTGAGTCTCTTTGGTCAGTTGGTCCAGTTTTTCTTTTGTCTCTGTGAGGAGTGTTTCTTTCTCTTCCAGCATCTTGTCCTTCATCTGAAGTGTCTCTGTGTTTTTGGTCAGAAGTTTTTCTTTCTCTTGAATTTGTTTGTCTTTTTCCATCAGCTGTGCGTTTCTCTCCATTAAAATACTCTCTTTATCTTCATAACGTTTGGCCTCTTCTTTTAACTCTGTGAGAAACACATTCATTTAACACTGAAGACCCACCTGAGCAGCACATTGACTCATATATATTTGATGATATGTCCTCATTTCAGATTGTCACCATAATCAATCGTGTAATCAGTCTGTTCATTGTAGATAACTTGGTGAAACAGAGCTATAATTGAGTTGAGGCTCATTTATAAATGCCTTCTTAAAACTCATTCATTCTTGTGAAGCTGCTGTTGTATTTTCAACATTCTCACCTCTCTTTTTACATGTGTGTCCTATTTTTTTCTAAGTGCTAATATTTCTTGTCTAGTCTCATTCTTTAACTATTATTGAGTAACTTAGCCTTTCATACAAGCTTTATAACTGTACTGGAAGTAACGTTAGTTTATAATGCATGTATTAACTCTAGTAGCACAAACTGTTGCTGTTACACAAAACCAGCTCACTAAAGAAAATGATCAGATCAAAGTAAAGATCCAGAGCAGCTGCTACGCTGAATAAGTTCAGTATCAGTGTAAAAAAGCTGGTGAGCAGTGAAGAAGTAGAGAAAAGGACAGAAAGAGGCTTTAAGTTAATGATCTTCTACAACAGGATCTCCAACAGAAACCCTGTTACTGCAGAAACTCACACCAGCCTGCACAGCTGCACTGATTTCTACTGAGGCTTTAATGATCTGAGCAAAGCTGACAGCAGTAGAATGTGTTTTAGTTAAAGCTGCTTATTCTACTCTCTGTTCCACTGTTCATCACATCACTGCATTAGTTTAATATCCAACAGCAATGAGTCCCATCATCATCTAACCCACTCTACTGTAGTGTCTCTACAGTCTCTGTAATCTCTCATTAAACAGGTTTACAGTCTGTGCAGTTTTAACCCCTTAAACCCGTCAGTCCTTCCCTGAGTTCATACATTAGTGTGCATTGCTTTCCATGTAGCTTTGAATAATAAGTATTATGAAGTTAAAACTCTGGGAATTTAAAGAGTTAAACTCAGTTATTAGTCTTTGATGCTCTTTTGCCTGCAGACAAAAACCCTGTGAGCCAATCAGAGGCTTTAAATCAGACCAACACACACAACGACCCAAAAAGACTGAAAGAAGATCCACAAAGTCCAAAACCATCACGGCCTTTACAGTCTGTCTTCACCAGAACAGCACGATGACGATAATCTCTACAATGGTAGCAGAGAGATCTGAATGATTTATACCAAAATCAGGGAATTACACAAAATATGAGACGTGAGAATCGAATAACACTGGATTCTATAATTATTATAATGATCTTTTCATTATAATAAAATGGAAATGGTGTTGAGAAACCTGCCTACATTAAAACATTAGACTTTTACTGGTTTAAAAGGTTTTATTTTGTATCTCCTTTAAAACTCACCGGTCAGCAGAACAGATTCCTTCATTTCTTTCTCTCCTCTTCTGTCCATTCTCTGTCCATCTGTAGGAGAGAATAAACAGAGCGGAGATGTGATGATGGTGGGTGTGTCAGTATGAATCACTGAGAGCTGATATTACTAACAGTAGAGACTCTGCTGATTGTAGCTGATTGAAATATTTAAACTCAGGTGAAGAAGAGATTAAAGCAAAGAGTCAGAGCAGGATTTCAGAACAGGAGTGAACCTGAACATCTGACCCCAAATCAAGGTTCTGGTAAAAGGAGGTAATAAAGCCGCCAAGACAGAGACCAGAAACATCACACTGATATTAAGGAAAAGGGGATTTTCTCATGCATCCAAATCTGTTTCCATAAGAAAATGATGTTTATTAATTAGTGTTCTCACCTGATAGACTCTGATATACAGTCCTTCCTGCAGAAGAGAAACTAATTAGTGAACAATATTGACTCTTAACATGCTGAATATGCTGAATATAAACTAGCCCAGATTTCTGTTTGGGTGGGTCTGAACTACAGAGCTAACACTGAGTAACCGTGTCTAAACATGTCTGGAGTTATAATTTGTTGTGTGCTGTATATTATTTTAATAATTCATAACTGGACACGACTTTGTAGAAGCAAAAACCCTGAAATGGTTTAACTGTGGAGCTGAACTGGTCATTCATGTAGGATCACATAAGAACAGTGACGTCACTCCCAACAGAGCCAGACGGCTTTTATTTGCTGTGTCTTTTTCTCATCAGTGAACTTCACTGTCTCTACATTTCTGCAGTGCAGTGGGATTATGCACAGGAGCATTGTGGGAAGGAAGGAGGGAGATGAAGTCAAAAGCTTTCATTCTGAGATCAGACACTTTGTTCATCATGTGAAATTTACCTGAATCTCCATATTATGTAGCTGCTTGATGTCTGTATTGAATGTAGTTGATGTGATAAGAGTATAAAATCAGTCACGACCAGCAGAGAAAGAAGGAAACACTGTTATTTACTCACCAACTGAGCTGTGGAATAAAAACAGAAGGAGACACAAAGTTAGTCAAATCTCCATCAGAAACACTTTACAGTTCTAATATTTGAGTCTTTTTAACTCTTTATCTCCTGATCAGAATCTTTTCTTTTCTCATCTGTACTGTAGTTCTTCATCCTTCACTACTGAACTGTCACTCAGTGCTTTCAGTGCAGCTCCATGAAGACGTTCAGCTGAACAGTTAAAGTCTCTGATCGACTAACAGACCCATCAGTTCCTCACACAGAGCTGCTTTATTAGAGTTTTACCTGCAGCTCTGAGAAAGACAGAGGGAGCAACTTTGAATGGAAAATAAATAAATAAATATGGTAGTAATAATACTACTAACAAGAACAAGAACAACAATAATAATAATAATAATAATAATAATAATAATAATAATAATGATAATAATGTTGTTGTTACAATAATAAATCTATTTGTTTTTATTAAATCACAATTACTGAGATTAATTTTGGCCTCATTACTTAATCAGGATATAAACTGTACCACTTTAACACTTCTTCTTCTTCTACTTCTGCTTATTAATATTATTATTCATAAATGTAGGAATAATATGGAATAATGGATACTAGTTAATTCAATCTATTATATTTTTATTTATAAAACATATATATATATATATATATATATATATATATATACATATATATTCAGTCGGAGGATAAAGGATTCGTCCCTTTAGAGAAAATAAAGATTCTAAAAGATCTAGAAATGGATTTTTAGTTGTGAATTCATTTTGATCCTCGTTACTCTTAAAGCTACTTCAGACAAACAAAACAATTCTTATAATTCAAACCTCAAAAACAGCCTGTTTGACTTTTACAGTGTCTGTAGTTGATATTTCAGCTCAGCTCAGTGATTCTGTAAGAAGAGCTCCATATTTAAGATGATTTAGAACTGAACTAAACTGATTTAGAGCTTAAACTAAAACTCTGCTTGAGTTCATTAGATAAATGAAGCTTTTCTCTTGAATGTTTGTTGATGGAGATCCATGATGTGTCCTGTCAGGCTGAAGGTGAGCTGGCCTGAAATAACTCAGCTGTAAAACTGTAGTGTTGCTGTGATTTTACAGATGTAGAGAATCTTCACCATCATCACCAGATCTACAGGCTGGAGATCACATTCACTCACATTCTTCACCTTCAGCTCTTTACAAGATCAACATCAGATTTAATCTTCTATCTGGATCTTAGAATATTGTTTTGATAAATGTTTGCAGTAATTTATATCATATTTATTTGAAATTTGGTCTGGACTCGCTTTTTTGTGTTTTACTCTGAAAGTCATGAATTTCAGTTTGAAGTATTTTGGTTTCATCAAATGGTCAGACGGGGGTGCTGGACTTAACACAGCTCCTGGCGGGAGTGGACATCGCTCAAGAGAAATGAGCTGAAGTTGAGGGTCTGAATCGGAGAACTGAGACTCCATTCTGAACATCGGTGTTTCTCATTTCTGTCTCTCCATCTTTCACTCTGAGACGAGACGCTGATGATGATGATGAGTTTATGTACAGTAAACTTCTGGAATACTCACCCCCCACTGCTACTGTACACTCCTCTGTTGTGTCTCCATTGGTGACCTGACACAGATAATCTCCTCTATCTGACCCTCCACAGTCTCTGATCTGTAAGGAGACGTTTCCTCTCTGCAGCTCCTGAGTGAACAGACTCACTCTGCCCTTGTAGCCCCTCCCCTCTGTCACCTGCCTGTTCTTATAGAGACAAACACAGTCCGCCCCCTTAAACCACCTGATCTCCATGGCAACAGCACTGATTTTAGGAGACAAGTGACAGGAGAGAGTGACCGCAGAGCCAAACTCATATTCATCACCACAGGGACCAAAGAGTTTAAACTCATCTGTGTAGAAACACAAACACACACACACCACACACACACACACACACACACACACACACAGACACACACACAGACACACACACACACATTAATAGTTGTGTCTCCACAATAAAAATAAACTCTCTGATTGAATTTTGTTTATGATGTTCAGTAAAACCTTTTGTAGGTTCTGGAAGTTTAACTTACTGTTTCTTTCAGCCGCCATTTTATCTCTTTATCTCCTCCTACAGAGAGAGAGAGAGAGAGAGAGAGAGAGAGAGAGAGAGAGAGAGAGAGAGAGACTTTTTGACTTTTAACAACACTTTATTGTAACCACATCTCGCTAAGGTGTGTAAAAGTCACATCAGGCCATTTCCGCCCTCAAACCAGCACATAAAAACAAACAGTTTGCTTAATAAATAAATAAATAAATAAATAAATAACGGAATAAAAGCAAACTTCAGTTTTCAGTCATTAAAATCAGGTGCAAAGCAAAGTTCGTTGTCTAAAACCGAGCACAGCACCTCCTCACAGCACCACACCACTTTAAAAGTCTCCAGATCAGACATACACTTATAATATTTAAAATCAATTAGAACCCTTGATTTGACCAGTCTAGAGAAGGTTCTCACTACGTCGGAGTCAGCTGCCTGTGCCACACGGTTTTTCCGACTCATGTACACTGCCAGTTTGGCCTGACCAAGAATAAAATGAATCAACTGGCACTTGAACATCTCTCTCTGGACATATTTAAAACCAAGGATAAAAGTATGAGCTGTAAAAATCACATTAAAAGACATAAACAGAGTCTTTAAAATGTCAGAAAGGGGACGGAGCCTAAAACAGTGCATAAAAGCGTGAAACACCGTTTCCCTCTTAAAACAAAAAGGACATTCAGGAGTGACCTCTGGATTTAAAACAGAAATAAAAGAGCTAACAGAAACAATGCCATGTAAAATCCTCCACCGTAGATCTGCCACTTTTTTGGTTAATGGTGGTTTATACAGTGCTCTCCATTGTGGCTTCACCTCGTCAGCGAGACCCAGAGCATCTCGCCACGGCGTATCAGCTCTGCTCTCCAGTCTCTTTCTGTTAAAAACCTTCACACAGGCTGTGTAGAGCAGCTTGCCAGAGACTGAACTCAGGTCCATGCTCAGCTCCTCTTTACGGTCCAGGATGGGGCCCTGACAGTCCTGCAGGTCAGGAGTGATGGTAACCTTGGGGAAGGGGTCATCCTCATCTGGGCTGAGCAGTCCTGCACCATAGTCCTTTATCAGTGCACGTTCCTCAGAGGACAGCACTGACCTCCAGCACTGCAGGAGTTTGGCCACAACACGCAAGGACCTCACTCCCAAGCGCACTGCCAGGTCCCCCGCACAGTCCAGACCAGGTCCTGCAACTTCCACCAGCTGACGGAGGGTAAAGATGTTGGAGGAAACCAGAACCCTGACCAGTGCGGGGGACGATTTGCTTGAAATGTCCAGCCGAGACCCATAGAGAACAGGTTCCTCCAGAAGCCAGTGTAAAGAGGTGCTGCTTAGTCCAGACATGCTAAAAAAAAACTCCAAATTCTAAAAAGTCCACGATAAAACATAGGCAGGCCAGCGATGTCCAGCGCCTTAGAGCTCATAAAAAATAGAGCTCTGTCCAGTCCCATACTCCCAACAATATGTAAAATCCTGCATGCCACTTCTCTCCATACCAAGTCCTTAGGGCCACTCAGGGGTCTCTGAATGAACTGGAGGCAAAAGGCAGCAGTCCTGCTAGCTAAGTGAACCAGCCCTTGTCCTCCTTCTTCTTTGGGTAGATAGAGGACGGCCTGTGGTAACCAGTGCAATCTGTCCCAAAAAAAGTCCACTAGCAGTGCCTGTAGGTCAGCAAGAAGATTTGGTGGGGGATCTCCACAAGCCAATTTGTGCCATAAAAAGGAAGCAACAAGGTTACTGACAATGAGAACCTGTCCCCTATAAGACAGCTGAGGCACTAGCCAAGTCCATCTGCCCAGACGTCCCTTCACTTTCTCAATGGTGCCCTCCCAGTTTTGCTTTGCACACTCACTGTCCCCCAAATATACTCCAAGATACTTAAACCCACCCGTCCTCCATGACAATCCAGGCAGTGTAGGTTCCCCACCAGTCCATTCCCCCACTAAAACAGCTTCACTTTTACTTTACTTTAAAAGGAGCACATAAACCTTGAGTACACTCTCAATGTCACTGTACAGAACCTTGATCATAGCTATAAAACCTGGGCTGAACCCAAAGTTCTCCAGAACTTTCCACAAATATGCATGTTCAACCCGGTCAAAAGCCTTTTCCTGGTCTAAGAAAACAAGACCAGTCCTCAAGCCCAATAGCCTGGAGACGTCCAAAACATCCCAAATTAAACAAATATTATCAAAAATAGACCTACCAGGCACACAGAATGTCTGGTCAAGATGTACCACCTGCTCCATCACCTTCCCAAGTCTTGAGGCTAACGCTTTAGAGAGCAACTTGCAGTCTGTGCAGAGCAATGCCACAGGGCGCCAGTTCTTCAGCACCGTCAGGTCTCCTTTTTTCGGCAGCAAGGTCAGGACAGCTCTCCTGCAGCTCAGAGGAAGTTTTCCTTCCTGTACACTGACCTGGAGCACTTCACGCACATCCTGACCCAATATAGGCCAAAATGCCTTGTAAAATTCCACAGGGAGACCATCAATCCCTGGTGCCCGGCCGTTTTCCATACCCTGAAGGGCCTCAGCCTCATACAACTCTCCCAAGGAGAGCTTAGCCTCAAGCAGGGTGGCAGACTGCTGCGTGATTCTGGCCTGTAGTGGGAAGAACCTCTCCTCCACCTCCTGGAAACTGGCCTGCTCGCTCTCACACAGCTTAGAGAAAAAGCTGACTGTCTGCTGGCGAATTTCAGAAGGCTCAGAAACGTGATCCCCCGATTCAGACCGCACAGCATGCATAAACGTTTTCTGTCCGTTTCTGGGCTCCAGACCGAAGAAGAACTTTGAAGGAGCATCCATTTCCGTCACATTCCGGAAACGTGAACGGACCAGCGCCCCCTGTGCTGTAATGCCCAGCAGGTCAGCTAACGCAGCTTTTTTTCTTTTAAGAGCTTTAATATGCTCTTGATCTCCTGTGGCCTCCCCCAAACAATGGAGTGCCACTATTTCAATCTCCAGCACTTTCAGAGATCTGATTATGTCCCTGGTGACATTGAAAGTGTACTGTTGGCAAAACACTTTAATTTGTACCTTTGCTACGTCCCACCACTGTTGTAATGAATTAAAAGATGTTTTCTGTGACTTAAAAACATCCCAAAAAAAAGTAAAAGACTCCTTAAAATTAACGTCATCTAAAAGTGCAGTATTAAAATGCCAGTATGCACTCTGAGGCTTAATGTTACGTTTTCTAACAGTACACTGAACCATACAATGATCAGAGAAACCAACAGGAGAAAACAGACAAATGATGTCTAAAACTGTAAAACTGATCAAGTCTGGCCAATGAGAGGGCATTATCCCTACAGTACGTCCATGTGTACTGTCTTTGACATATGGAGAACTTTACATGGTAACCACACAGGTCATGGGCCTCTAAGAGTTCACACAGACGCCGGCGGGAAGCAGTGTGTGGTTCTAGGTGGTTCCTATCCAGGTTATCTGCTGTACAGTTAAAGTCCCCACCCAGGACTAAAAAGTCAGTAAAATCACAGTTGGAGATAAGAGAACTCAGCCTGTCTAAGAAGACCATCCTCTCCACTGCTACAGTGGGAGCATAAACACAGATAAAAACAAAGCTTTCATTCTCATAACAGGCTTGTACTTTCAGCAGCCTCCCAGGTAAAATCTCATCAACTGTGTACGAGTGAGGTATAAAATTATTCGAAAATAAAACACCAACTCCACCACTATCAGTGGAGTTATGACTTAAAATGACCAGCCCCTCCCACTCTTTAGCCCAGTCTACAGCGTTATCACCATCACTGTGTGTCTCCTGGAGAAAGAACACATCAGTGCGCTTCTGTTTCGCCAGCTCATAAAACATCGCCCTCTTCCTGTCGTCTCTCGCCCCATTTATTTTCAGAGTAGCGATCTTAATGTCACTCATTAAAATAATAAAAGGGCATAAAACTGTGATGGCGAGGGCCAGTCCGAAACAGGGACCAAACACACTAAACATCCTCGTCAGGACCTGCTTTATGTAGTTTAGTCAGCATCTTTTTTAGTCTAAAAATTTTCAGTGCAGTAAAAGACCCCTCCCTCCTGAAGTGTTTAACATTGTGTATGAACTGCTGGGGGTCCGTAAAGTGCTTCTCTACCTGCACACCTCTGTACCCTTTAGTCACACTGAGGAATGTCTTTATCTCTTCGGCAGTGTAGCGTACAGGTAGCCTCTCCTCCTGAGAGCACACTGACCAGCCAGAGTCAGACAGAGAACCCTCACTGTCAGTGTCGGCCTCAGCACCACTAAGCTCTTTTTTCGCCTGCTTATTCCCCCTCCCCCTCCCTCGCTTCTTCCTTTTAGCGGGAACTTTAAAAACAGGCTCATCCACCATGTCTACATCAGCCACAGTTTCCAGCACCACCACTTCAGCAGAGACAGCTTCACTACAGCCACTCACCTCAGCGGTCTGCCCCTCAGAGATAGCAGTGCCCCCCTCGGTACTGCCCGGTTCCTCCACAGCTGGTTCCAGCACAGCAGGAGCAGATGAGGGAGACCCCTCCAAGGCCCGTTCAGCCCCCGCAGTTTCCTCAGCCGCAGACTCCAACACCCACAGGCCCAGAAGCAACAGTCCCCGGCCGCTCCGGCTCAGCCCTCATGGGAGCATCAGTGTTCCCGTCCGCCTTTACAGGACAAGCACGGACAAGATGTCCCGCTTGCCCACACCAGAAACACTTCACAGCAGTTTCAGACGAAACATAAACAGCATACTCAAAACCATCTACACTGAACTTCAAAACCAAGTCCAAATCCTCACCTTCCTTCAGAACCATAAACACAAGCCTCCTGAAGGACACCAGGTGCTTAATCAAGGCGCTCTTACAGCTGAGGGGGATCTTCCGAATGGGAGAAACAAGTTTTCCATACCGGGACAGTTCGACAGGATAATCTTTTTAGAGGGGGTGCTAAGGGGCAAGACCGGAGTCAGCTGACCGTTAATAACGACCCCACTCTGCCCACTGCGTTCCCTGCAGCCAGGCAGCTCCTCCACACTCACCCTGCACTCCTCCACACTCACCCTGCACACCACC